GGCAAAACTCCTTGAGCGTCAGAGCATAAAGGAAGGTTTTGAAGCCCCCCTAGATAAGATTCTTGGTCAGGGTATTTATGCTGACCCACAAGTTCAGGCTGAATATGATGACGATATACTGTCTCTATGCAGGAAAGCAGCATTAAATGCCTGGGATAAGGTTCGTGAGCCAAGGGAACACCTAGAAGCTTATACCAGAATAGAACAGGGACCTACCGAACAGTTTCTTACAAAGGTTAACTAGGGCAGTAGAATTACAGGTAACAGATCCAGAAACAATACAATCAATTATATATACAATAGCTTATGAAAATGCAAACTCAATATGTAAAAGAATACTTTGCCTTTAAAGATCAGATAAGCTCCGGTAGAAGAATTGGTTTTGTATGCAGCCAATATTGATTATAATGTGAAAGATACTGGAGCTTGGGTAGGAGAAGCCATCTCCAAAGGTTTAAAATGGCAACAGAAAAATTAAAACTTCTAGAGGTGAGGATGTAAGGGCTTGGCAAGGAGAAGCACCTTACAGAGGTCAACATAGGTACCAAGAGGCTAGAGGTTACTACTACTATGAACCAGAACCTTGGGGAGGAAGAGCCTTCCCCTGGAGACCACGAAGGCACCAGGAACCTAGATGTTTCAACTGTGGTAAAATGGGACATACTAAGAGAAATTGTAGACAGACGAATTCTAACAATGCCTCATACAGAAGGTTACTGCCTTCTGGATTGTGTAGAAGTTGTGGTAAGGGCAGACACTAGACCAATGAATGTAGATCCATCAGGGACATACAAGGAAACCCCTTAAGGTTGGGAAACCCCGAGGAGGGACTCAAGAAGGCCCCCACATCGAGAAAGGTCGGGTCATTCCCAGTAACAGTGGGAGACAATCTCTCAGGACCAATAGATAGTACTTTGCCTATTGTGAAAAACGATACTGCTCTAGATGGTCGTTTGAATAGTGATGAAGCATCAAATGTTAATGGACAAAATGAGAAATGCATATTTTGGCCAGCTTCTATTAATGATAAAAGGCCTCAGTTTAATGGGAAAATTAAAAATAACCCAGTTATTTCTGGGTTAGTAGACACTGGGGCAGATGTAACTATTATTACCCAAAAATCTTGGCCTCAGAAATGGCCTCTTAGAGAGGCAAATGTACAATTTTTAGGAATTGGAACTCTATCTAGAGTTCGACAGAGTGTTAACTCGGTGGTCTGCATTGGACCGGAAGGACAGAAATGAATACTGAAACCATATGTGGCAGATATATCTATAAATCTCTGGGGTTGTGATCTCTTACAGCAATGGAATACTCAGATTAATATTCCTCCAATGTCAGATACCAATTATGTACAATCTTTAGTTTGTAGAAAAGATCTGGTTAGATGCTATGGAAAACATTTACCAACCATCCATTCTGTGCAGAAACTAAATACAAATGATGGACCTTCAGAGGAGCCAAAGGCCCTGCCATTGAAATGGCTTACAGATGAACCAGGTTGGGTAGGACAATGGCCTATGACTTCTGAGAAACTAGAGGCTTTTAAAAAGTTAGTACAGGAACAGCTAGACGCTGGACATATAGTGGAATCTACCAGTCCTTGGAATTCTGTATTTGTTATCAAAAAGAAGTCATCAGGTAAGTGGAGAATGCTGACAGATCTGAGAGCCATAAATAAGGTAATTCAACCAATGGGCTCTCTGCAACCTGGAATGCCATTAACTTCCTTAATACCTAAATGATGGCCTATCATAGTCATTGATGTAAAAGACTGTTTTTTCACAATACCGTTACAGGAAAATGATAGAAAAAAATTTGCATTTACTGTACCAACTCTTAATAATTCACAGCCAGTTAGGAGATATCAGTGGAGAGTTTTGCCACAAGGAATACTAAATAGTCCTACTTTGTGTCAGCACTTTGTACAGCAAACTTTGGAAATAATTTGTAATAAATTTTCACAATCTCTTGTTTATCACTACATGGATGACATTCTTTTATCAGATTCTAATAAGGAAACTTTGGAATGTATGTTTGAAACGGTGAAGGAAGTTCTGCCTCGTTGGGGATTACAGATTGCCCCAGAAAAGGTACAAAGAGGAGATTCTATTAACTATTTAGGTTACAATATAGACTTACAAAGAATCAGACCTCAAAAGGTACAAATTAGAAGGGATCGTTATCAAACTCTTAATTCTCTTCAGAAATTATTAGAGGAAATTTCTCAATTCCAGACGATTATAGGTATAGAACGACATAACTTGAAGCATTTAAAAATGGCACTTAAAGGTGATACGGACCTAAACAGTCCTAGAATATTATCTGCTGAGGCAGAAAAAGAGTTACAATGGGTACAAAACAGAATATTGAATGCACATGTAAATTTGATAAACATTAATTTAGACTGTATTCTGGTTATTTTGACATCCAGAGAATACCCTTCTGGGACTCTGATGCAGAGGGACTCTGATTCTGGAATGGATATTTCTGCCAAATAAACAGAATAAAAAGTTAAAGACATAAATAGAAATGATTTCTGATTTGATTTTAAAGGGTAAATTAAGCCTTCGTCAACTGACTGGAAATGATCCAGCAAAAATTATAGTACCTTTAACTAATGAAGAATTTTCCTCATTGTGGAAAGATAATGAATATTGGCAAATACCTCTTAATGACTTTTTGGGAACAATTAACAACAACTATCCCAAAACTGACAGATTTAAATTCATAAAAAATACAGTCTTCATTCTTCCACGTATTGTAAGATAAACTCCCATTTCTGGAGTTCTTACCTTCTACACTGATGCCAACAAATCAGGTAAGGCAGGCTATAAAGCAGGTGAGGTAAGTAAAGTAGTTCAAAGTTCATATGCATCTGTACAGAAGGTAGAATTATATGCAATTATCATGGTACTTATGGATTTTACAGAACCTCTTTATATATTTACTGATTCTCAATATGCAGAGAGAGTCATGTTACATATTGAGACTGCAGAATTCTTCCCTGATAATACAGAATTAACTTCTCTGTTTTTACAATTACAGGAAACTATCAGAAACAGAAGTAATCTTATATACATTACACATAGCAGATCCCATACAGGTCTGCCAGTCCCACTAGCATAAGGCAATGATGAGATTGATCATTTATTATTTGGAAGTGTTCTAGAAGCCTCAGAATTTCATAAGAAACATCATGTAAATAGCAAAGGTTTGAAAAAGGACTTCTCCATCACTTGGCAACAAACCAAGGAGACAGTGAAAAACTGTCCTACTTGTTCCTTTTATAATCAAACTCGATTGCCATCAGGTTGTAATCCTAAGGGTATTCGGAGAAATGAGGTTTGGCAGATGGATGTCTTTCACTTTGCAGAGTTTGGAAATTTGAAATAAATGCATCATACTATAGACACATTCTCAGGGTTCCAATGGGCTACTGCTCTTAACTCTGAAAAAGCTGATTCTGTTATTACACACCTGCTAGAGGTGATGGCAGTTATGGGTATACCTGCACAAATAAAAACTGACAATGCTCCAGCATATGTGTCTACAAAATTGGAACAATTTTTCAAATATTATAACATAAAGCATGTTACTGGTATCCCACACAATCCTACAGGACAAGCAGTGGTTGAGAGATCTAATAGAACACTTAAGGAGATGCTCAACAAACAAGCTTGGAAGACTAAACCCCCAAACATAGGTTGCATAATGCTTTATTAACACTAAACTTTCTTAATACCAATGAAAAAGGACAAACAGCTGCAGAAAGACACTGGACTATGGACAAAACTGCTGAACTCAATCAGCCAGTATACTTCAAAATGTACTAATCTCTGAATGGAAACCAGGACATGTGCTACGTTGGGGTCGGGGTTTTGCATTGCTTTCTACAGGAGAAGAAAAACTTTGGATACCATCAAAGTTGATCATGATTCGAGTTGAAAAGGAAAAACGTCTGAACAAGGAGAAATGACAGGTATTCTACTAAGGTATATCTTATAAACTAAATAGAAACCCCCAAAAGGAAAGGGAAGTGTTTTGCTTTACCTGCACAGGAAAACTCATCTCCAGAAGGCAAAGGACACTGCATGGGTAGATACCTAAGAAGAAAAGGTAGCTATAACCATCAAACAAAAGGAACGTGCCATATGGTAAACTTTACAGCTGTCTCTCCAATAACTCTATTTCTCTTCTTTTCCTAGTCCCTATTCAATTAAAGCAATGCTGGATTTAGATGCGGATTTGGCTTTCCTACTCTAAAATCCAAGCACGTTATTTAACTAAACTTTAGTGTTTCTGTATTGTATCAAGAAGCCAATTGGTGTAATACAGAATAAAGGAATAATTTGGGGACTGTCTTTGTCTTTTCTTGGATCTTTATTTCAAGGTGTGCACCCTCTCATAATTGTTAAGCTCCCATGGTTGCCTTTCCCAGCATGTGTACATACACAAGCAAACATTTCTCTGCTAAGTGTTTATGTTTGAGTCCCACACAGCCAATGAAGACCTGCCTGACAGCAATCCCTGGACATCCTGGAAAGAAAATGGGCTGCACTGGATACAACTTGCTCCATTTCAACTGACACTCCGGCTAGAGGTTCGGGTACTGACTTCAATCAAGTTGAGGAGTTCAAGCGAGATCTTCAAATAAGCAAATCCCATCTAACATGGACTGGATACAATCCATTCAAGACTTTCACTATACTAACATTTTCTTCCTACAGGACTCCACAAGGATGTCATCATCCCATTTCAGCAGGAAGTAACTTGAAGAATTCTACATCCCCTTTCCCCATTGTTGTTATTTAGGATAGTATATATACCTAGTTAGGGATAGCTTCTTATTGTTTATGGTTGGGATTGGAAGGAGGTGTTCAGGCTTGGACACCTCTTTCAGATGACTTTAGGGTTTAGTTAAAATAGATAGGGAGGAAGAGACATAAGCAGATTGTTGTATCTTCTTATATTTTACCTTTATGATTGTTAATTTTGGATACTTTACACTGTTAAGTTTTAATCCTCTTTTAGACTAAAAGGGGAATTGTAGGGGAAGCTGTAGCCACGCCTACTTAGGGGCTGGCTACAGGTGTTCGAGGGCATGGTCAGGGTGACATAGATTGATACTTGCATAGGACTGCATTTTGTGTTTTCAGTTTCACTTTGGTACTTGCTGGACACACTGCTGCCATGCCAGCTGGCTAGGTTGCTCTGTAAGTAAGGCTTTTCCCTATTAAATACCCTTATATTTCTACCTGACTCCATATTGGTAATTTCCCACTATAAATAACACTTAAGTAAATGTAGGAATGTGAACATCTTTTAAACATACTGATTTAATCTCCTTTGGATATATGTTTATGAATAGTGTTTCCACATCATAGCTAAGTCTGTTTTAAATAATTTTAGGGAATTTTGCAGTTCCTCACAATGACTGTGCAAATTTCCATTCCTCTAAGGATCTGCAAGGAAGACCTCTGCTCCAAAGCAGGATGACAACTCTGAAAAGTATCCTTTCCAGAATGTTAACTAATTTGTATTTGCATATTCTGCTAGTTATGCAGGAAAATAGGGTAAGAGTGTTGTCTTTAATTTATGTGGAAATCAGTGATGAATTTTAGTTAAGAATGTATTCATTTCTTGTCTGAAACATACACACATATGCAGAAATGCACACACACACACACACACACACACACACACACACACACACACACACACACCCCACTCTTGTCTTCAAGGACTAGATTATTATCTGAAATTGCAATTCCATGTTACCAAAATGTTATATTTCAAATGTGAACAAAGTAATGATACATTAATGAGTAAAAGTCATCAAAGATTTGCAGCCAAGAGGCTGCATATTTATAGTTCCCCAGGGAATATGGATCAGGAGCCTGAATATTCCCCCAGATGTATTCAGAATCTTACAAGGTTGTGAGAAATATTGGCTAGACTGAATTTTTATCTGAATTCCAGGCAAGAGAAGAATCTCTCTAGTTGCGTTGAATTGTGGGATTGACAGTGGCATATGACTTGTCTGAGAGGTTTCCTTCATGTTCTCAGGCCTGGTAGCTGCTTACACCATGGAGTTTCCAATAATGTCTATCTCTGTGACACTAGTCTGCCTTAGATTTGAGTTCACTGCTTCCAGCATCATTTTCCTTTTGAGAAAGTCAGAATCAGCAGACTTGCGATGTTGATGACATCCACAAAATCCTGTAGCTTGCCTGTTGACTTAAAGTAAGTCATAGGTTGCTGGGGGTGAGTTGTTTCTTCCCTAGATTATGTTTTTGAATGTTAATCAACATTAACATATAGTTAAAATGTGTCCTCAACAATTTTCAGGGTTTGCTGAGGTGGTGGAGTTGAGGCCTTTAAGGGGTGAGTACAGAAAGAGGACCTTTTTCATGTTAAAAAGAATCAAAAGGTCTTTTCTTCAATCAGGAAGTCTGATTCCTTGCCTTCTTTCACAGTATGACCAGAGCTCTGCCCTGCAGAGCATGCAGAATTTACTGGATAACACAACCTGTGAGGTCTTTGTCTTCTAGCTTCCCACCCATCAGTTATGCAAAAAGAAGTTTGTGTTACTTATAAATTTCCAAGTGGACTTAAGACACTGGTATAAAAGAGGCACTAACAGACCAAGGAGAAAACTCTTAAATGAAACTAGCTTGCTTGTCCATTCTCCTTGAATTTCTACTAGAAGAAATGAGAAAATTAATTCCTGATGTTTAAGCACCTCAGCTCTGGTGTTTTGTGACAAGATTCCTTAACGACTAATGTATAGGTTCAGTTCAGTCTCAAGGCTAAGAGTTAGACTAGATTTAAATTCCAGGGCAGGGGTCATGGGTGCACCCTTAGGGCTGGTGTTCTGCATTTTTGCTCCTCAAGTTCAGAATCTCCTAACTACATTTCATAGAGGATCATGCTTCCTCATACCCCTGCAATGGAACTTGAACAGGGTGCTTAGTCATCTTTTAATGCTGGTGGTGAAACTGAAGCTTTCCTTTTGTTAGAAGTGCAAGTTCAAAATCTGTTCTAGGGTGGCAAACTCTGCCCATCTCAGTTTCTGAATAATTTTTATAAGCAGAGCCTCCCTTCCAACCCACACCAAACACACACCTTGAAGAGCAAGTCAGCCTATAATATTTCAAGCCACTGAAATGTTGTTTCTGTTTATTATAACACCAACATGTAACCTAAAATGAAGAGAGGAATAGGGTGGAATAGTTTCATAATGTTAATAAACTTTTACAGTTAAAATATAAATGATTAATGCCAAAGTATTACATATATTTGTACAAAATTATAAAGGAATATAACTGCCTCTTTATATTCTTAGTTGGAGTCAGAAGTTTATATGAACGAGCATAAATGAGATGAGTGAAATGACCTGAACTTCAGAGGAAAATGAGATTGTACTTCTTATTTCCCGGATATTTTGTGTTCAGGATTTGTTGGACTTAAGATTTTCTTTGGTTGATGAGTCTATTTCTTCTAGTGTCTTCATCTCCTGAGATTCTCTCTTCCATCTCTTATATTCTGTTGGTTGTGCTTACATCTGTAGTTCCTGATCATTTATTCAGCTTTTCTATTTTGGGCATTCCCTCAGTTTGTGGGGTTTTTTTATTGTCTCTATTTCAGCTTTTGGGTCTTGAAATGTCTGAATTGTTTCCTTCAGCTGTTTGACTGTATTTTCTCAGCATTCTTTAAGAGATTTGTTGATTTCTTGTATTATTTGGTTTGTTTTTTCCTCCATTTCTTTAAGGGATTTTCTCATATCCTCTTTGAGGCCCTCTATCATTTTCATGAAGATGTTTTTAAGGTCATTTTCTTCTGTTTCATCTGCATTGTGATGTTCAGGTCTTGCTGGTGTAGAGTCCCTAGACTCCAGTGGTGTCATATTGGTTTTTCTATTGTTGAATGTATTTTTATATTGCCATCCCTTCTTTCTTTGGGTGTAGAAGGAATCTCTTCCTTTCCTGGTGGGTACAGGACCAAGGTTCCCTTCTGGTAGACGCAAACAGATCCAATACTCTGATGTCTCTCTTCTTCCTGTGGATGGAGGCAGGACTGGTACCGGGGCCTTGGAAGTCTCTTGGTGTATTGGATTCCACCAGGATGGGATCCACTGTGAGCAGTCCTCAGGCCTCAGGTGTCCCAGAGCAGGGCAAAGGCAAGATGTACTTCTTAAACCTTATTGTGACCAATTTATATAAACAAACCAATTCTTGCAATTATCAGAGACTATGACAGTGTTGTGAGGAAACTATATGACAGGCTTATAAAATTCACCAGAGCTATGAAAAGAATAAACAAAAAAATTGTTTTTTAACTCCTAATCTTGTTCAGTCTCTCTCCCTCTTTCTATATACATACATACATACATACATACATACATACATACATACTCCCTCTCTCTCTCTCTCCTTCTCCCTTTCCCCTATTGATTTTTAGTCTTTCTTTTGTTTAAATTTAAACAATGGTTCATAGCACAATGAAAAATAATCACTTGATATTTCCTGTTTTGTTACCAAGAAAATTAAATTGAGAAGGACCTCCAAGATGTTTCTTTTGTGTAACTATGAAAGGCACTTCAGTGAGAAATTGTATGTGGCCTAAACTGGAAAAACTATATAATCAGATTAATTTCTAATTCCTAAGAAGTCTCGATGAGCCTCAGATGGCGCTCTTCTATGGAGTTGTTTTTCTGCTCTGCACACTGCTGTCTTCAGATAATTGCTTTCAGGTGGCAGTGCTTCAGGCTAGATAAGAGAAAGTGTGTCTACTCTGTCTAAGGGAATCGTGCAATATATCTCCTTTTGGCAGGTGTCAAATTTGGCAGCCTACCCTTATGTGAGAAGCTGTTCAACTTCTCTTCCTAGTTCATTGTGTTCACTGAAGTATTCCATGGATCGACAAAGCCTCTTTGGAAGATGCATCATTTTTGGTTAGGAGACAGAAAGAAAGAATAGACAAGAGGATGAAACACTGAGAAGAAAGGGTACTTGGGGAACAAGACTGAGGAAGACTTGTTCCCTGATTCATGTTCCACTTTTCACAACACTGGGGGAACAAGCCTGAAGGAAGCTCTACTTCTGGCCAGTGTTACACTTTTCAGCTCACATATATAAATTGTATATACATACAGATATTATTTTATAACCATGAACATTATCAATTAGCACATAGCATAAGGCTAATAAGTGTTCTGGTTACTATGGAGACTCAAGTGGAGCCTGGTGAGAACAAGAATTTTGATTTTAAATGTTAACATTTTGCTACCATTCTTGAATTTTTATAAATTTCTTAAATTACTTTAATTAGAAGCATTTAACATCAGCTTTGAAATGGGTTTGATTATGTCTAGACAAGTATTGAATTTGTAATGTGTACCTTTGTTACCCCACAGATGTGTCTGTGGTATTTTACTTTGCAAAGAAAGAAGATCTACTAGTAAAGTCTGTTTCCTGAACATTGATGAGGCTGTTATACTCCACTTGAACACATTTATAAATTTTTAGTTTCAGTAAACAAATAAGAGGGTTAACTAAAAACCACAAGAAGGGAAAAGAGCAATAAAATATTTTCATGTGTTGAATTCATATATGTGAGCCTTGTTTGTGTATATGTGAGTGATGTGCTCATCATTGAATAAGAATACCAAGTAGGTACTTTCTTTTACACCTTAAATTGGGTTAGAAATTAGTCAAAATGGCTTGCTTGCCGGATGATGGGCTGATTTTATCCTCATTAGTTTCAAAGCATTCTTGCCTGGAATATGGCTGAATATATGTAATCTGAACACTTGGGGTTAATGGTTACTGAGACAAGAGGATCTTGAGCACAAGGCTAGCTTGAGGTATATCATAGGATCCTGTTGCCAAAGTGTGGAAAGCATGTGTTCAAGTGTGTGTGCACACACATGCATGTGTGCATGCAATTGTACTATTATATAAGCTATTTGAACATTTAAAATGTTGTCTTCAGGAAGTTATATGAAGCCTATTCCATGATATCTTTCCAAGTATGATGTCATTTGCATGAAAGGGAATGGTAGGATCTGGGAACACTAATGTCATGTCAAAAACACAGGATGTTCAGCATGCCTGTGTGTGTCAAATCAATGATTCCTTTATCTTCTGTGAATAGATCAAGTCTATATCACCATCAATAACACTTTATTTTTCTCACTTCTCTTCCCCCCATATGTCACACTCCTGTAATCTGTCCCTGCACAACACACTGCCCCCTCAGTATTCTCCATGTCTTTTTTGCTTACTCCTTTGAATTTTCATTTGACATATTTTGGTTTACAAGACAAAAATATAGCTACATCACCACCTTCACTACTTTCCTTGTTTCTCTGATAAAATACCTAACAAAAACAGGTCAAAGAAGGCAGGGTTTATTTTATCTCAATTTGTGGATATAGTTCATCACAGCAGAGAGACATGGTATCAGGAAATTGAGGTTCCTGGATATATTACATCTGTAGTTAGGAAGCAAAGAGAGATGAATTCTGGTGTTCAGCTCAGTTTCTAATTTTTCCCATTTTATTCAGCCTAGGAACACAGCTTCCATGGGATGGAGTTTCTGGAAATTATCAAATACAGACATCTTTTTTCTCATGAGATATTGAGTTCTTGGAATTGAGTTTTGCTCAAGGAAAGAGAAACACAGGGAGAGAGGAACAAGAAATCTGGAGAAAGGGAAGCTGGCTACATGGCTTGAAAGTCATCCAACTCAGCTTTTGAAATGCCAAAATAATCCTTGTCCAGGCCTTGCCTTTCTACATGATTCATTAACACACAGAAATTCACGCTACATTGTGTTAACCAGAATCTTTCTTTCACTTGCAAAGAGTTGAACAGCATCAATAACTAAACCATAGTATATCTTGACATATTCTTATATTATACAGTGTCAATTTTCCATTTTTAAGTGTGTGTGTGTGTGTGTGTGTGTGTGTGTGTGTGTGTGTGTGTGTGTTGCTTGTCTGTATTTGTACAACATGCATGCAGTGCCTTTAGAGACCAGGAGAAAAGGAGTTGGGTTCTCTGGAACTGGAGTTATAGGTGGTTTTCAACCACTTGATATGGATACTGGAAACTAAACCTGGATTATCTGCAATGGTAGAAAGTGTTCTTAACTGCTAAGCCATCTCTCCAACCCTCTGAAATTCTTTGTATGTTAATGTACATATACAAAAGGACAAAAATAATCATTTGACTATTCTTAAACTAATTTTACCTTTCCTGTGGCAGCATATTTGGGAATTTTTAGAATGTGCTCACAAAGCATCCTGTCCACAGAAGCATTGCCTTATCACCATAACTAATTTTCTTTCTTTCAAAATGTTTTGTAAATTATACAGAAAATGTGTAATTATAGGCTTAACATAGAGAAATTAATATAGAAACATAGAAAGTAAAGAAAAATACTTATTGTCTTCATTCCTATTTCATCTCCTTCCTCCAGATATACTAGCATTCCTGGTTTGAAATCAATTGTCTGTATGTATCTCTCACATTTATATGCAGATATATTTTAATTTTTATTTGATTGAGTATATACTAAATATAAGCTGAAATTTACCTGTTTGTTATGTTTAAGATGCTTCCTCTCAACACACAGAAATAAACCTTGATTGTAGGGAGACACTGTAGCCCCACCTCCTAGTAGCCCTGACAGGTGTGCTGGGACACGCCCATGAGGGCATGGTCAGGGGAGGTCTAAGGTGATGCGGGAATGATTCTTAAGCGACCGCACACACATGAATAGTCCCTTCTCTCTGGCCTGGCTGACTTGCTGCCCCTGGCATGCTCTGGCTTGCGTTTGGGCTGGTGCTTATCTGATTAAAGAAATCTTAGCCTTACGGACTCTGGATCATCTTTGAGTGCATGTGGCACACAATAATCAACACTTGATTTTGTAAATTGCTGCAAAACATTCAATTATATGAATGCATAGAAGTTTATATGGTCATTTTTCCACTAACATATTTTGGATATTTCCATCTCTTTCCACTAATTGTTGTTCCCTAATTTAATCTTGAAATTTGCAGGAAAATGGATGGAACTCGAAGAAACCATTCTGAGGTAACCCAATCACAAAAAGACAAACATGATATGTACTCACTCATATGTGGACCTGCTTTATGATACATAGTAGTGACCATGCTTTATCAGAGCTGTTTTTAATGATGTTGCTCAGAATGGCTTCCTCCCAGATGATGAATGAGAAGCTAATTAAAAAAAATGGTGCCAAGTACCACAAGAGTAACAGAAATGTGCTGTTTTCTGGGACTTTGTTTTTGTTTTTGTTTTTTGTTTTTTGTTTTAAAGAGAGTGTGTTGGATGTCTCTACAATTTTGTTCAAATGACTGAAGAATCTGGAAAAGCTGTTGCTGCTATTGGAACATGTCTTGTAGTATAGTTTCCTAAAAGTTGAATTGCTAGTCAAATAAATCATACATTTATTTAAATGACTATTTTCCAAAAGTCTTTTTTACTAAGAAAGTCCTCCAGGAATAATTAGATAAGTTAAGACATACAGCCAGAAGGAGATATTCTCTCCAACTTTAGAATATTTACATCAAATGGAAGCATTAGAAACAGATGAAATCATCTGGAACCTCACGATGCATACTTCTAAATAACACATTTCATAGATTCAGATCTTCTTTCTCAACTTTAAAGTTAAAAGACATCTTAGGTATGGTAGGAAAAGCTAGTAACAACAATAATAAAGCCAGTATTTATTGAGTGCTTGCTTTGCACCAGACATTCTCATTTTCTTTTTTTCAATTTTAACTTTAAATATATTTTGGATCATATTCTTCCCCTCCCTCAAGTCCTTTAAGATTCTATTCCCATTCCTACCCACCCTTAAGTACTTTCTCACAAAACAAACACAAGCCAAATAAATACACAGACAAAACCAAGGCAACAAATAAAAACACCACCCAAAAGAAAAAAAAGGAAGAAAGCAAAATAGAAAACTGTAAACAAGGAAACACACACACACACACGCACACACACACACACACACACACACACACACACACCTATGAAGGCCATTATATATTATATGTTGGTCAACTACACCTGAGCATGAGACTTACCTTGGTTCATATATCAAGTATCACTGCATTGGAGAAAATTGCTATCCCTCTTTCAGCAGGTAAAAATGACAGATCAGTTATTAGTCTTTACCCTAATGACTAGGTTTTCATTCATTCATTCATTCATTTATTCATTTCAAAATAAAATAAAATAAAACAAAAATATCACATTGACATTAGACAAGACAAACCAACAGAAGAAAAAGTGTACAACAGAAGACACAAGAATCAGATTCATTCATTCATTGACACATTCAAGAAACCTATTAAAACACTAAGTTGGAAATCATAATATATACACAGAAGACTTGGTACATACCTGTGCAGATCCTGTGCATGTTGTTTCACTCTATGAGTTTATATGAGTTTTGCTTATGTCAATTTAGAGGGCCTTGTTTTCTTGATGTCTTCCATAACCTCAGGCTCTTAAATGTTGCATCCTATTCTGTGGGTTTCCCTGACATTTCAGGGGAGGGAACTGATGGAGACATTCCATCTAGGTCTGATTGTTCCCAGGTCTCTTATTCTTTGCATAATGTCTACCTGGGTTGCTGTATTTGTTCCCATATGCTAGAGAAGGAAGCTTTCCTGATGATAGCTGAACTGATCTATGAGGATAGCCAAATATCATTAGCAGTCATGATGGGGAATGTCCTTTTGCGTATGTTATCTTATTGGTTGTTGAGTAAAGTACTGTTGGCCAATAGGAAAGCAAGATACATGGAACTAGGAGTCGAGGAGGATTCTGGGAAATATAGTAAAGAAATCTGTGATCCAAGCAAGAAGTGACATAACAGACAGACTCAGAATATAAGCAGAAAATCGCTCTTGCTCTTCCTTCTGCTGTCTTCTCTACAGAGCCATCATGTGATCCTGTGAAGAGGACACAAGCAGAAGGTGTCCTTGATAAGATAAGTCTTATAAAATATATAGATTTATGATAATTAAGGCTGAGATAGCATATAAGAATTCCTAGTCAATTGGCTAGCAGGATTGTAAACTAATATGAGACTCTGTGTGTTATTCTAGGTGCCCATGTGGCAGCAGGGCTAGGGCAGATGGAGTAAAGACATCATTACAGTCATTTTATCATTACATTCCTTTTTCTTTCTTAGACCAGTATTATTTTGTTTAAGGATAGTTCCCTAGGATGTCTAGTCTCATGTTCTTGGTCACTCAAGTGGTATTAGGTATGGGTTCCACCTTGAGGAGTGGGCCTAATGTCAAATCAGCTATTTGTTGGTTACTCTAACAAGCTTTGTGTCACCATTTTCCTAGCATATGCTGCGGTAATCCACCATTGTGGATGAAGAGTTTGTTGCTTCTTTTGTGTTACACTTTTCTTTTGATAACTTGCAGAGTACTTCCCTATACCAAGGATTCTAGAATGCAGGGGTAAATGCTCTATGTAGGCACCAGCTTGACATCACCATGCTCAATGTGTTGAGTAGGAGTTATTGTTATCAATGGGCCTTGCTGACGA